AAACCTGTATCAAACACCCAATATGCAATCATGTCAGACATACATGGGACATTCTCCAGGATAGACCACAGGTTACACCATGAAGAGGTCTCAGTGTATTTTGAAAAATTTAAATCTTACAAAATAGTTCCCCCAACCACAACAGAATTAAATTAGAAATGAAAAGAGAAACTGGAAATTTCGTGTGTAAAAAGTAAATAAAGCATTCTTATCCAAATGGTTAATGGGAAAAAAATCACAAGGGAAATTAGAAAATACTTAAGAATGAATGAAAATGGCCTCATAAGAGACTTATGCTATGGGATGCAGAAAAAGCTATACTCAAAAAAAAATATTAAACAGAAATAGCTTTACTCAATCACCTAACTCTACACCTTGAGGAACTAGAATAAAGAAGCACAAAATAAATCTAAAGGCCATCAAAAAGAACAGAATAATACAGATAAGACAAAAATAAAATACAAAATAGAAAATAAAATGAGGGGGGCTGGCGGTGTGGTATAATAGGTTAAGCCTCCAGCTGTGGTGCTGACATCCCATATGGACACTGGTTCAAGTCCTGGCTGCTCCACTTCCAATCCAGGCCCCTGTCATGGGGAAGCAGCAAAGGATAGCTCAAGTCCTTGGACCCCAGCACCCAGCTAGAAGACCCAGAGAAAGCTCTCAGTTCCTGGCTTCGGGTCAGCTCAGCTCCTTCTCTTTCAAATAAATAAAACAACCTTTTTTTTTAAATCACATAGGGTGAGCATTAGGGCACAGCAGTTCAAGCGGCCAGCGGCGGGTTGTGAATGGCCCGACGAGTCGCGTGGAAGTCGGTAATTTGGCGCGCATTGACAGCCGGGGCGGTCATGACTGCTTGGGATCCTACTTCCTGAGAACGAAAATGGGAGGAAAAGTGGATGGAGACGATGAGAACATTGTAAAAGAGTTGGGATTAATGGAGTGTTTGAATTTGTGAAGAATTATAAGTGTAAATAGGGTGTGTTTAAGGATGTTTGGGTAGTGGTGTGGGGGGGGGAAAGTGATGGATTGATGGAGATTGGGTTGGGTTGGTTTGGGTTGGGTATTATAGATATTTATAATTATATGGATGGATGGTTATAAGATGAATTAGGTAGTTTAATTGTGGGATTTTATTTAAAAAAGTGATTATGAATTAGATGAGGATTATTTGGATGATGTTATTATGTTGGGATTTTAGTTGATGGGGGTGAGATATAAGAGAAGGGTGTGTTTGATATGAATTTTATTTTATTTTTGTGATGTTTTTAAGGAGGTGGGTTTTTGGTTGTTGGTGATGTAAAAGAATTTATAGGAGGTATGGTGGATTTGGATAAGGGTATATAGTGTTTATGAAATTGAGGAAAATATTTTGGAGTATTTATAATGGTAATATATTAAGGGGGGGGGGGGGGAAAAGAAAATATAGAATTATAATAGAGAGAAAGGTATACAATGTCCACTGCAGTGGCAGATGGATGGATTTTTAAAATGTGGTGTACTTTTATATATATGCTTAAAAAAAAAAAAGCAAAAACAGGAAATGCTATCACTTGTGGCAAGAAGAGTGAAGCTCGAGGACATCATATGAAGTGACATGAATCAGGCACGGAGATCAATAGGATGGAACTGCACGACTATGCAGAACCTTCGACCGCTGAGCGCATACAGGTACAGAGCAGGAAGGAACTTGGAGGCTGGGGGTGGGCAGGGATGGGGACAGGGGTTAGGGAGCTGCTGCCAAGGGCTCATCCGCAAGGCACTATACTTAACAGCAAGATGTTGCACACTTGTAAATATTTAATAGGATTTCAAGTATTCTCGCCACAAAGAAATGATTAATATTTGAGGTGGTAAATTTGCTAATCATGTTCATTTCATCATTCCACATTGTATACATTTAATGAAACAATACATTGGTCTCCATAAATGTATGTTATTATTTGTCAATTAAATAAAACAGAAGATAACCAATCTAGGGTCCATATCTAGGCAGGGAACCCCCATAGGAACAAGAATGCAGTTCCTGGCTCCTGGCTTCAGTTTGGCCCAGACCTGGTCATTGCAGCCATCTGGGGGGTGAGCCACCAGAATGGACAGTTCTCATCGGTCCCTCTTTTTCCTTTCAAATAAAGTAAATCTTAAAAAAAGAAAAGAAAGGGCCCGGCGCGGTGGCGCAAGTGGTTAAAGGTCCTCGCCTTGCACGCCCGGGATCCCATATGGGCGCCGGTTCTAATCCCGGCAGCCCCGCTTCCCTTCCAGCTCCCTGCTTGTGGCCTGGGAAAGCAGTCGAGGACGGCCCAAAGCTTTGGGAACCTGCACCCGCGTGGGAGACCCGGAAGAGGCTCCTGGCTTCGGATCGGCATAGTATCGGCCCGTTGCGGCTCACTTGGGGAGTGAATCATCGGACGGAAGATCTTCCTCTCTGTCTCTCCTCTGTGTATATCCGCCTTTCCAATGAAAAAATAATAAAAATAAATCTTTAAAAAAAAAAAAAAAAAAAAAGAAAAGAAAGTGAAATGCCATTTTCCGATTACAGCTGGCTGCACCCTAAGCCCTGTTCTCCCAGCAGTGAGCACTTGACCTGCGCTGACCCCAGCACGCAGCACGGGAGTGCAAGGCGCCAGGTGTTTGGCTTTCACAGGGAACATGATGGCAGACTGCACACACCTGGGAGTGACGCCCAGGGCCAAGCCCTTCCTCAGGCAGAGCCCCGGAGGAGCCGCCTCTCCGGGGTCCTTGGTCTTACCGTCTCTCACCTTCCAGCTCTGGGAATGATAGCGCAGAACCATCAGGAAAGAAAGAGGACGGAAGGCCGCATGGAGGTGGGAAGTTCCAGAGAAGCTCATCTGTCGGCAGCAGGGTCATGCAGGCCCAACAGCCAGGCAGCTCTGACCATCTGTGTGCCTGGGGGAAGCCTCCTCTCCCCAGGCCTCAGGGGACCGCAGGCTCAGCCCACTCTTGGAGATGCTAGGAGCATCTCTGGACATATGCTTGCTTCATTTACTCTTCCTGACAGGAGGCTGAGACAGACACCAAGGGCTCAGATGTACATCACCCAGCCCCAGCCTCACACTGCTCCAGAGCCCGCACTCCCCCGTGGGCCTGACTTCCTGGAAAACCGGAAGAGGCCAACACACAGCAGGGAGAACTGAAGCCCCAGCAAAGCTGGGACCTGCGGGTCAGGAAATGTGTGTGGCCTCTCTGGGCTGCACAACAGCCTGGGGAGGACTCCAAGCCAGAGACAGTGGAATCCAAACCAACTCTATCCAATTCCGGGACTCACCATGGCTATCGCACCTGTAAGGCACCCCTCCTCCATGGGCATGCCAGGAGGCCTGGCAGGGGCCACACAGACCCCCAGCAGGTGGCATCTCCGGGTTTCCCAGCACAGATTGAAGGAATTCGGGGGCTTGGAGAGAAAGCAACAGACACTAACATGATGAACGTACAAAGACTTCCTAAGGAGCTTTTCAATTCCGGGTCTCACTAACCAGCAACAGATGGGCTTGGGACTCTGAGAGGGAGCTGGAAGAGGTGGCTCAGAGCTCAGGGAACTGCCACTTACCTGGCCCAAATCAGGCTCAGTCCAGTCACAGTGAGCAGCCTGGTCAGCAAGGCAGCAGTAGAGACCAGAGAGAGGTGAGAATGCAAGTCAGCCCCACTTGAGCAATCTGTCTGCCCCAGGCACTTCCCTCCTAACCTCAGAGGGGGAAACCTGCTGAACAGAATAAGGCTAATTGGAAAAACAGCCTTCTTTGCTCTGGCCGAGAGTGAGCTGGGCCAGGTCAGACTGACCTCAGCCCTCAGGACAGCCCCCTCCACTGTTCCTCTGGAAGACTCGTGGCCCTCACAAGACCCTGAGCTACCCTAGCCCGTGCAGGGCAAGATGGCGCTGCTGCTTGCTGAACCCAAAGGGAGGTGAACTTGGATGTCAAGCCAGGCTGAGGGAAGGGTGAAGGGCCAAGTTGCTCCTACCTGCACTCCTACAGACACCCCCACACACATACAACCCGTGAGACTAACCTGGAACACAGGCAAGTGCCAGCACTGACCAGCTCACCTCCGCAGGCAGCCTCTGCCCTGATGAAAAATGGCATTTGGAGGAAAAGGTGAGACCTCCCATAGCCAGGATGGGTCTGGGCTCCACACCAGGAGGCAGACATGTTCACTCAGCGCCCCTGCAGGCACTGGCGTCCCCGATGTGGCAGTCACAGGCTAAATAAATTTACGTTACGTGATCCTGAGCAGAGCTTGGGTTGTCTGGGTTTTTTTCTCTACTCTTCATTTCGCAAATTCTTCATTTGGTAACAACTTAAAGGGGCCTGCACAGTGCTGAGCCTGCAGCAAAGGAGTACAACCCAGTTCCTGTGCATGAGCAACCCAGGCCTACAGGGCAGGCACACTACACACACCCTACACAAGGGCTCGTGCCCACCCTCGTCAGGCCACACCTCACATGAAGAAACCCCAGACTAGACACACCTGCCTGGTGGCACAAATCCTTAGTGCCCACTTCTGTCAACCTCACAAGATGGGCAGGCGGGAGCCAGAGGAGAGCCTGGGATGCCATCAGAGCTGACACTGGCTGCGGAGCTGCTGTCATCTGGAGAGCAAGTCAGGGAGAAGGGGACAGACACCACACACACAGGAGTAAGGGCAGCTCCCATGCCTGGCCAGACCCCAACAGCATTATTAATCAATGCAAGAGCCAAAGCCTCACTCATCAGAGGCTGCTGGAATCTGGACAGGAAAGAACGCAGCACTAGGAAGGACCAAGCCACCCAGGTTCATGGAGGAAGAGGACCTTCGGGGCGGAGAAGCCTGTATCCCTGACGGCAGGTGCTCAGGCCACAGAGAGCCTGCTAACACTGCCCGTTCTCACCACCCGCTGGCCCCTTCCGGGAACAACAGTGGTGGTCGTACAAGTGGCTCCTCCCAGGTCGGCACTCCGTTACCACCTGACACCATCCCTGAAGTGAGACACTCTAACAAGGTCATGGGTTTATACCTTTGCCATTTATTTTTTTAAATCTTATTCAAAATATTAAATAATACAATTTCAGATATGAAAAAATGACTGCAATAAAACAGTTCAGGGGTATTTCCATTGTGCTTCCGCTCCACCTAACAAAGGGTGGACACCCTGCTGCTCTCACCAGCATGTGAAGCGCATGTCCACCAGCTCACTGGGCCCTGTTGAATGGACACCGGGACTACATTTTCTGGAAAGACACCTGTGAGTCAGGTGTGGTTCAAATCAGATATTTACATATAGATCAACTTCTTTTTTTCATAAAAAGGCTAACACATAGTAAATAATTCCCAGCTGCTGTTGAAAAGAAAAATAAAGCAAGAATTGGGGGAAGGTCATTATACATATTTATCCTTTATGTATACAAACAACTTTATTCAAGTATAACTTTAATTTCAAAGACCTGAATGCCACAGTATTTGCGTGACAGCAGCCCCTAGGGTTCACTCCAGTTCCTGTACAGCCACACAGTGAACACATCTGATAGCTACAGCAGTCTCCGCCCACTGCCTGCAACCAACGAGGAACCCACACGGTCACCATGCCTGCACTGCATGGTACCGCAGCTTCTGTCTCTAACTTTAATTCAGCAATTCAAACCAAAAACTGGTATCTAAGTAAAACTCTATCTACACTGCAAATTGCAGAATCATCACTGCCAGGATTTCTAAACACATTATCACAGATATCCTAAACCCATTAGTTTGGAATCATAAAGAAATGTGCATTTAAAAATTAGTATGTAGATGGAGAGAGTGAGCTTGTGTTAGCAGTACCAGGTCTGTTAGACTTTGATTAAAAATTCAGGATCTTGTGAAAGTAGCATTGCTTCTAGAAAAAGTACAATAAATCTAAAACAACAAAACACCATAAATATAAGGGAATGCTCAACTCACATTTTGAACACCTGATTGAACTCAGCTCAGGCGAGGAAAACATAATGTACCCCTCATTTGTGACATTTAATTTTCAAAGCACCAAGGCAAAAACAGATCCACTTCTCAGCAAGTACCAATTCCTACGGCAAACATCTGCACAATATCATATAAAAAAAAGTTGAGCAAGTAAAATTACATAATAAGCAAACAAATCACAGCACTTTAATAAATGTAATCGTTGGTGATCTTGAGCGATGGCATGGCCTCATTCACGTTCTGGTCCAGACGATGGTACCCCACTGTTTTAGAACAGAGGCCATCACGCCATCTCCTGCTCTGAACCAGAAGGGAAATCTGCAAGAAAACAAGACTCCTTAGATACACACAAGAGGAAACAGACGTTACGGTAAAAACTTGTATGACGATCAAAGCTGCTTTTTCTAAGGTTCCCACAAACAAAAATCAAAGGGTTGGTTTACTTCCCACCCTGTGCACAAGGCGAGATAGTGCTTGCCACACGTCAGGGTGCAGGGTACTTACTAACAGCTCAGGGTCCTGGGCGCTCTCTTCAGAGACTGAGTTTCTTAGCAGCATGAGACAGAACCCAGGAACCTACTTGCATAATAAGTCCCTTGGGTGTTAAAACTGAGACCAAGTCTCACATTCACAACCCTGCGACTGACACTACCAAAGCCTGTGACAGACCAGTACCCACAACTGTTTGCCATTCTCAATTATTACACACACTGATTCTCAAAGAAGGAAATGATGTGGCCCAGTTTTGCCATTTTTCAGGTAAGAAAATCAAGGCCCCAAATAGGAAGGGAGACAGCTAGTTGGGAATTCCAAAGCACATTACAATACAGTCAAGAACTGAGATTACTTGACCACTAAGTATTAAAAATAAATTGTGATGGGGCCGGGACAGTGGTACAGCAAGCTAATCCTCCAACTCTGGCACTGGCCTTCCATCTGCGCACTGGTTCAAGTCTCAGCTGCTCTACTTCTCATATAGCTCTCTGTTTATGGCCTGGAAAGGCAAAAAGGATGGCCCAAGACCTCAAACTCCAGCACCCACAGAGGAGACCCAGAAGAAGCTCCTAGATTCTAGCTTAGGCTCATCTTCAGCCACTGTGGCCACTTGGGGAGTGAGCCAGTGGATGGAAGATGTGTCTCTGGGGCCAGCATGATAGCACAATGGCTAAAGTCCTCGCCTTGCATGCGCCGGGATCCCATATGGGCGCCGGTTCTAATCCCGGAGGCCCCGTTTCCCATCTAGCTCCCTGCTTGTGGCTTGGGAAAGCAGTCAAGAACAGCCCAAAGCTTTGGGACCCTGCACCTGCATGGGAGACCCAGAAGAGCTCCTGGCTCCTGACTTCGGATTGGCAATGCTCCAGCCATTGCGGTCACTTGGGGAATGAATCATCGGACAGAAGATGTTCCTCTCTGTCTCTCCTCTTCTCTGTATATCCACCTTTCCAATAAAAACAAATCTCTAAAAAAAAAAATGTGTCTCTGACTCTCCTCTCTCTGTAAATCTGCCTTTCCAATAAAAAGAAAACTTACCAATACAAATGATGCTGTCTGCTTTAATCAGAGTGAAAGGTCTGGGCCTAGGCACTCCAGTCACACTCAGTGACACACTGATGGCTGCTCTGTCACACAGAATCCCACAAACCAACTCCAGCATGGAAATGTTCCTCACAAAACCACTTCCAAACCCAAACTCAGAAACCATTGCAAAGGCCTACAGGAAAACTGTTGAATCAACCATACAGTTATCTAATCATGTACTTAAAGAATATTAATAATATTAATAGTAACAAGATTAATGATATAGAAATTGCCCATGATTTGTTAGGCAAAAAGCATAATTCAAAATTCTATGGGATAAAATTCATTTAAAGATTAATAATTTGATTATTTTTTAGATGTGTATATAGGGCCCAGCATGATGGCTCTACTAGCTAACCTGCCCTAGGCAAGCACTGGTTCTTGTCCCAGCTGCTCCATTTCCCATCCAGCTCCCTGCTTGTGGCCTGGGAAAGCAGTCAAGGATGGCCCAAAGCCTTGGGACCCTGCACCTGCATGAGAGACCCAGAAGAAGCTCCTGGTTCCTGGCTTCAGATCACTTGGGGAGTGAACCAGCGGATAGAAGATCTTTCTGCCTCTCCTTCTCTCTGGATAAAAATGGAAAAATCCCGAACAAAAGCATGACTGAGGGTATGCCTCTGCCTAGGAGCTATGCCTGCACATTCTATTGGAGCGCCTGCACCCACCCCCAACCCCACCTTCCTGGGGTGCACAGCTGGGAAGCAGCAAGTGAAGGTTCATGTCAAGACCTAGACTAAGTTATGGCTCTCAGGGATCACTCCCCAGATGGCAGCAACAGCCAGGGCTGGGCATGAGGAAGCCAGGGTCTCTCATGTGGGTACAGGGGCCCAAGCACGTAGGCCATCTTCTGCTGACTGCCCACACATACTAGCTGGGTCAAATGTGGAGCAGCCAGGACTCAAACTGGCACCCATATGGGATGCTGGTATTGCAGGCAGCAGTTTTACCCACTACACCACAAGGCCAGCTCTATAAACATCTATGATTTTAAAAAATGACTGAGATAATTAAAGGGCGAGTGGAGGGACTAAAAGACCCCAAACTTACCTTTCTCTTGTTGTGATATGTAACATAAACAACAGCGACGCAAAAAGCAAAAATAATAAGATGGAAAAAGAAATGGCTATCTTCTTCTCCCATATTTGAGGATGGGGTCTTAAAAGATTTCACTGAGTGTTCAATTTCCACGTAGCCCCTGTTCTCTTCTAAGTTCTCCTCGGGCTCAGGCTCGGCCTCGGCCTCCCGGGGGCTGGCGGTCCAGTCATAGTCCGGCTCTCCGTACTCGCCAGCATCTGGAGAGTCCCTGGCAGTGGGCGGAGAACTGTTGAGCGTGAGCAGATCCTCCTCCTCCATGCTGGGATCTTCGTGGTTCTCAGGCTCCTCCTGGGGCGGGGAAGTGGTGTGGGAGGCCTGGGGGGTGGCAGAGGCCCCTCTACTCTTGGTACTTGGCATGGGCGGCAGCATGGTGGTATTCAAGGGGGACACGGAGTGGCTTTGGTTCCCAGGGGAAGCAGGCAAATTCTGAGAAGTATCTGAGCTGAGATCAGGGTGGTTCTGTGACACAACTGAAATAAATCGACACAAAATACACTGAAATCCCAGCTGAAAGCCCATTTACCTAAACTTTCACCAAACACTTTTCCCTCTGCCAAAATTCTGTACATCTCTCCAGATAACTCGTTACTAAGTCTCTACACCGGAAGTTACAGTGTTCTCAGTCAATTATTCACCAGACAACACTACCAGGAACAACTTCAGCGGCATAAGGTGGACTGTGTTTCACAGCCTGAAACCCATGAAACGGAGGTGTCTGGCTGCAGCTCACAGGGGCCAAGCCCATGCCAAGCCCACGCCAAGCCCACCGCCGGACTGCCATCAGCCCTGCCCCACCCCACCACACAAGCCGGGGGCTGATCCCAGCTCCAGGAGCTCAAAAAAGGACACAGAATTTGGAACTAAATACTTTTAAAATAATACAGCAAATTCAAGGGAAACTACAAGAAGGCTACAGATAGCACTTCCAGGTGATTGTTAAACTGGAAACCTTCTTTTCCCAAATTTTAAAAAAAAAAAGCTTTCATGAGAACCAAAGGACAGGGCCCGGCGCAGTGGCGCAGTGGTTAAGGTTCTCGCCTAGCACGCCCGGGATCCCATATGGGCGCCGGTTCTATCCCGGCAGCCCCGCTTCCATCCCGGCAGCCCCGCTTCCCTTCCAGCTCCCTGCCTGTGGCCCGGGAAAGCAGTTGAGGACGACCCAAGGCTTTGGGACCCTGCACCCGCATGGAGGCTCCTGGCTTCAGACCGGCATAGCATCGGCCGTTGTGCTCACTTGGGGAGTGAATCATCGGACGGAAGATCTTCCTCTCTGTATATCCGCCTTTCCAATAAAAAATAAATCTTTAAAAAAAAAGAACCAAAGGACAAGAATCAGAACTGGAACTTGGAATCAGAACCGAAACTTGGAAGCTCTGTGACAATGAGACTACTTTAAGGACTGTGAAAGGCAATCCAGGAAAGGAAGGGAAATGACATATTCTCTCTCTCTCTCTCTCTCTCTCTCTCTTTCACACACACACACACACATTCTCACTTCCCTTTGCTATCACTTACTCAGCAAAGCTTAGTAAAGGTGAAACTGCCTCCACGGGAAGTTCTAGAAACCAAGGAGAACAGAGGAAGAGGCGCTGCTGAACTGCACCAGGCTCCCAGGCGGCACTGAAGCAGCTGTTGAAGCCCATCAAGGACATCTGTGCTGCCAACCGAGCAACACTCCGTCCCTGGGATCAATACCCTCACAGAGGAGGCTCCAAACCGGTCAAACTCAAGGAATTCCTAGGCTAGGGCGTTCACAGCCTGGTGCACACAGTTACTCATCTGACAGACACTGCAGTCTGCGGGTTCCAGTCAACATCTTATACGGAAAAAAAAAAAATAGCTGGCTTCAGTTGGACTGAATAGTCTTTCAGAGAAAGTAATTTTGCAAATTAGTAAAACTCTGCCAAAGCATGTTCAGTAGTTCAGCTTACTAAAATTTTAAAACTAGAAGAAAAACAATGAGTTTTTCTTCATTGAGTCTATTACTCAGAAAAAGAAAAAACTTTTTTGAAGGTTATTTATTAGGAAGGCAGATTTACAGGGAGGAGAGGCAAAGAGAAGGATCCTTCTTATCCACTGGTTCACTGCCCAAGTGGTCCAAAAGTCGGAGCTGAACTGATCTCAAGCCAGGAGCCAACAGCCTCTTCCGGGTCTCCCAGGCGCATGCAGGGTCCCAAGGCTTTGGGCCGTCCTTCACTGCCTTCCCAGGGAGCTGGATGGGAAGTGGAGCAGCTGGGACATGAATCAGCACCCCTACAAGATCCCAAGACCTGAAGGGGGAGAGCTAGCCAATTGAGCCATCATGTTAGGCCCCAGAAATCTTACTTTATTAGTGATGATGTTTACATAGCAGAAAATTCTTAATGAGAACTTCTGGAAAGAATTCTTACACATACCACTTCAACCTAGTTGTGATTCAGGAGTTCAAAAATTTCTATTTCTATGATACATTGGGTTTCCTCCCAAGGTAAAGGAAAAGACATTTAAAATAAAAATTAAAATAATTCTGAACCAACTAACCAACCTTGACTTTTAAAGGAACTGCTCTCAGACCACTGCTGTTGGGTAAAGCTGCCACCCACAGCGCTGGCAGCCCAACAGGTACCAGTCAGGTCCTGGCTGTTCCACGTTCAATCTAGTTCCCCACTAATGCACGTAGGAAAACAGTGGCACATGGCCCAAGTCCTGGGGCCCCTGCACTCACACAGGAGACCTGGAAACATTGCCCGTCTCCTGGATTCAGGACAGCCCAGTTCCACCGCTGTTGTCATTTGAGGACTGAACCAGCAGATGGAACTCTCTGTCTCTTCCTCTTTTTCTGTAACCCTGCCTTTCAAATAAACAAATCTTCCCTGAAAACTAACAAAAAAAAAAGGGGGGATCCAGCAGCATGGCCTAGCGGCTAAATCCTCTCCTTGAAAGCACTGGGATCCTACATGAGCGCCGGTTCTAACCCCAGCAGCCCCACTTCCCATACAGCTCCCTACCTGTGGCCTAGAAAAGCAGTCGAGGACGGCCCAATGCCTTGGGACCCTGCACCCATGTGGGAGACCTAGAGGAAGCTCCTGGCTCCTAGATTCAGATCAGTGCAGTACCAGCTGTCCCAGTCACTTGGGGAGTGAATCTTCGGATGGAAGATCTTCCTCTCTGTCTCTCCTCCTCTCTGCGTATCTGACTTCACAATAAAAATAGAATAAATCTTTTTAAAAAATGGGCCCAGCACAGTAGCCTAGTGGCTAGAGTCCTCACCTTGCATACACCAGGTTCCCATTTAAAACATTTAAAAGAAAATGATTCTCTCCATTTGACTTTTGGCATAAAATGTAATGTAAATGTAAAGCTGGTGGAAATGACTCTAAAGAAACTACCATTAACAGCCAGCAACAAACACCCCTTCCTCATTGTTCACCTTCCCAAGGGAAACCCGACACTCCCTTAAAGACACACTTCCCCCGCAGTTCTTTCTCTCATTTTCTTTTAAAGATTTGTTTATTTTTTTATTAGAAAGCCAGATCTACAGAGAGGAAGAGAGACAGAGAGGAAGATCGTCCGTCCAAGGGTTCACTCCCTAAGCAGCCACAATAGCCGGAGCTGCACCAATCAAAAGCCAGGATCCAGGAGCTTCCTCCAGGTCTCCCTCCCATGCGGGTGCAGGGTCCCAAGGCATTGGGCCATCCTCGACTGCTTTCTCAGGCCACAGGCAGGGAGCTGGAAGGGAAGAGGGGCTGCCAGGATTAGAATCGGTGCCCATATGGGATCCTACTTGGGGAGTGAACCATCAGACAAAAGATCTTCCTGTCTTTCCTCCTCTCTGTAGATCTGCCTTTCCTATAAAAATAAATAAATCTTTCCAAAAAAAGGGAACCCCTTCCAATTCACTATAAGAAGTTATTATAATTATTACTCTAATACCTAAACCAAGGACTCTCTAGAAATTCTATGCATCAATATCTCATATGTTTACAAATGCTAAAATCCTCAATGAATTATTAGCAAATAGAAACCAGAAATATATTAAAAGTTATATAGCATGAAAAGCAGACACAGTCCATGAATCCAAGCCTGGTTTGGGGACAGTCTTGTGACACAAGTTAAGTCACTACTTGCGACACGCACAACTCAATGAGAGCACCAACCCCACTGGGTCCCGCCACCTGCTTGCAGTGCAGCTGCTACTAACACATCTGGGAAGCACCAGATGACACAGCAAGTTCCTGCCCCATGTGAAAGACCCAGATGAAGCTCCCGGCTCCTGGCTTTGCCTAGCCTTGTCCTGGCTGCTGCAGCTATTTGGAGGAAATGAAGCAATTAACAGAAGATCTCTTCCCGCCTCCTTTTTTCTCTCCCTGAGTAATTTAAATAAACTTTTTTCCAAAATCATGTCTACTCTAACCTCATTTTATTAAAAAATAAAAATCCAGGCCCAGCGCGATAGCACAGTGGCTAAAGTCCTCGCCTTGCACACCCAGGATCCCATATGCACGCCAGTTCTAATCCCGGCTGCTCCACTTCCCATCCAGCTCCCTGCTTGTGGCCTGGGAAAGAGTCGAGGAAAAGCAGTCCCAAAAGCTTTGAGCTATTGGGACCCTGCACCTGTGTGGGAGACCCGGAAGAGCTCCTGGCTCCTGGCTTTGGATTGGTTCAGCTCCAGCCGTTGCTGCCACTTGGGGAGTGAATCTTCGGATGGAAGATCTTCCTCTCTGTCTCTCCTCCTCTCTGCATATCTGACTCTCCAATAAAAATTTAAAAATCTTAAAAAATATATAAAAACAAAAATCCACATACAAACATACTCCAAAAAGTTCCATGAAAGAAAAAGTGATTAAAAGGTAGCTTTACTTGGGCACAAAAATTTTAGAAATGTATGCACACGGTTTCATAATACACATTTTCAGTGAGATTTCTAAAGACTCTTATATTAACAGATGAACTGAACTCCAGCCTAAGCCTTACCTAAGTTATACAAAAGTTAACCAAAACTGGGTTACATACATAAATTTAAAACTCTAAGAAAAAAGAACAATCTAGGGCTGAGCAAAGAATCCTTAGACTTGGCCAGAGAAGCAATACAGACAGTAGGAGAAACTGACAATGGCGATGGCATTGTGGTATAGCATATTTATCTTCCATCTGTGACGCTGGCACTTCATATGTACACTGCTTTGATACCAAGCTGCTCTACTTCCAATCCAGCTCCCTGTTAATGTCCCTCTCAAGGAGCAGAGGACAGCCCCATCCTTGGGTCCCTGAGGGTCGTGGCTTCGGCCTAGCTCAGCCCGTCATTACAGCCATTTTGATGTGAACCAACAGATGGAAGATATCCCTCTTACCTCTAACTCTACTTTGTAAATTTAAGATATAATATTTTAAACTGATGAGCTAGACATCTCTAAATTAAACTTTTGCTTTGTTGAAAGACCTAACTATGCCGATAAAAAGACAAGCTATAAGTAAGAAAATAGTATAGAGTTCCATTCCCAACAAAGATCAAATTCTTTTTTTTAAAGATTTATTTATTTATTATTACAAAGTCAGATATACAGAGAGGAGGAGAGACAGAGACAAATATCTTCCGTCCAATGATTCACTCCCCAAGTGAATGCAACGGCCGATGCTATGCCGATCCGAAGCCGGGAACAAAGCCCACACGAATGCAGGGTCCCATGGCTTTGGGCTGTCCTCGACTGCTTTCCCAGGCCACAAGCAGGGAGCTGGATGGGAAGTGGAGCAGCCAGGATTAGAACAGGCGCCCACATGGGATCCCAGCGTGTTCATGGTGAGGACTTTAGCCACCAGGCCACGCTGCCGGACCCAAAGATTAAATTCTTAAAATATATATATAAAGAATTCTCAAAATTCAAAAGTGTAAAAGCAAGCAAGCTAATGAGAACATGGAAAAAAACATGAAATGACATTTCACTGAAGACAACAAATCAGACAGGTGGCAAAAAAGCACATACTAAGGTCATTAGCCACAGTAAAATGCAACCAAAAATCACAATCGGGACAACTACACACCAATAAAATACGGAGATGACATCAAATCTGGCAAGCATACACAAACACTAGATCACATACATGTTGTGGATGGAATGTGAAATAAGACAATTCCAGAAAACAGACGGGCAGTGTCTAAACAAATAAAAACTTAAATCTGAAGATGTAACTATGCTAGAGCCAGAAAGTGCATCCCTAGGCACGCACCCGGAGAGAACAAAAAGCTACACTTGCAGAAACCTGTGTGCAGACATCTACAGAAGCTTCACTCACCACAGCCAAAACAACCGACTTCCTCCCACAGACAGGTGAATAAAGTGTGGTCTCTCTACACATGAACCCTACTTGGCAATAAAGAGGAACCACTGACACACAAAACACTGCATCTCACAGAACTGTACCAAGTGAAAAAGCCGGATCTATGGGATCGTATGACTGGTCCAACTGGTGAATGCTCTGCCTGTAAGTGCCAGCATCTCGTGTGGGTTCCAGTCCGTGTCCTGGCTGCTCCGCTTCCCATCCAGCTCCCTGCTTGTGGCCTGGGAAAGCAGTGGAAGCTGGCCCAAGTCCCTGCATCCTTGCACCCACGGAGGAGACCCAGAAGAAGCTTCAAAGAGATTCTGAAACACTTAATTAGAACCTCACTTTGTGCAAAGACAAATTTTGAAACCCACACCTAGCTGCTTCATAACACACATTTACACAAAGGTTTGGAAGTACTCTCACATTATAGATTGCATGGTGGTCCTCTCAGGTGCCGACGAGGAAAACTGGGCAAGGGATGCACAGGGGGCTACATCATTCTTCACATCTCCACGCAAATCTATAACTATCCCAAAATGCCAAGTTTAAAGAAGTTAATTTCCACACCCTATTTTTAAAAACTTATTTTTCTCTGGACACTCTGCATATAATCTGTATTCTACACTCAAAATGGAGGCACAACTAGAGAGCTTTACCTCCACTGCTTCTGCCTGATCCAAGCCACCTTCACCGGAGCTGAAACATGACAGCAGCATCCACATTCCCCAGGACAGAAGGTCGATGACCTCACTGCGCCACTGTAAGCCCTCCGGGGTTCTCCATGTCTCCAGACAAGTCTGCAAGCTCCTGCTTGTCCAGGCCCCCATTCCCTCACTCTCAGGAGCTCCTGCTAATCACCCTAGGCACGCTATCCCCCACGGTCTACTTCCCGGAAAGCAACTACTGGCCACTGAAACTGCTCACTGCAGACCCCACGCTGCACCCCCAGCCACATCCCCGTCCAAACTGCAGCCCCCGCAGGCCCTTCTAAAATTCAACTCCTCCATCCAGCATCAAGTACACACAAAAGAGGTATTACTCAAGGAGTCAAAAACTTGGAAGTAAGACACAAACATAACACATGAAAATAAACTCAGAATTCATCAGAAATATGTGACACAAACAGATCAGGCTCCAAGATTTCCTCTCTTTCAAATCAAAGAAACTGATCCAGATATGAATAATACTCCCAACAACCAAAATGACAACACCTTTACAGAATTAACTGTGAGGTTTCACATATAGATACTACTGAAGGTGTTGGCACTGCAGCATAGCAAGTAAAGCCACCGCCCAGAACACCAGCATCAAATATGAGCAATAGTTTGTGTCTCAGCTGCTCCACCTCCAATCCAGCTCCCTGCTAATGGCCTGGAAAGATGCCCCAAAGACGGCCCAAGTGTTTGGGTCATTGCCACTCATGGGGGAGACCTGAATGAAAATCCTTCCCAGTTTCTGCCATGCTCTGTGACAGCCACCTAGGGAGTAAACCAGCAGATGGCAGATCTTTGTCACGCTCTATGATTCTGCCTTTCAAACAAACAAATAGATAAATATTTAAGAGGCCAAGACTATGGCACAGCAAGTTAAACCACTGTCTGTAGTGTCAGAATCCCATATGGGTGTGGGTTCAAGTTTGGCTGCTCCACCTCCTGTCCAGCTCCTTCCTAAAGTGCCTGAGAAAGCAGCAGAAGATGGTCTAAGCTGCTTGGATCCTGCACTCATGTGGGAGACCTGGAAGAAGCTCCTGGGCCCTGGCTTCGGTCTGGCACAGTCCTGGCTGTTACAGCAATTTGGAAGCTCTGTCTCTCTCCTCTCTCTGTAACTACCTTTCAAATAAATCAGTAAAATCTTTTTAAAATGAATATTATTTCCAAAACCATATATGCCATTTTAGATTCTACAGCTTCCATTTCTACACTTTATTAATGAACAGTTCATATTCCAAACATGAAACTTTCTGAATTCAAGACTCCCACTGGTCCCTCTCCAACAGAAACACGCTGGCGTTTCTCACCCTGGAGAATGCAGAGGCCCTGAGAGGTCTCTCACCCGCATGGAGGTCAAAATGTCACTTGTGTACGGAAGCGATGGGTTGGCAAACAGGGGAGTGGATGCTGCCAGGCAGCATGACAAAACCTGGTTAGGAGGCAGCCACCCAGTGGGCCAAAACATTCAGGCTCTGCTTTTGTAGACTTCATCACACTAAAATAAATAAATAAAATTTTAAAAGTTCTTACAGACTAAAAAAAGAAGAAAGAGAAGCAAAATTCTTTCAGACTGCCAAGAACAATTCCAGAACACTGAAATTTAATAAAACTACATGGAACACATTTAATTGAACCTAATGCAGTAACTGTCTCATTTTCTACCCTTACTAGAGATGTGGAACGCAACACAGTCCAGACTTGAACTTTTCAAGACAGAAGTGATTACTCCCGGAAACCATTCCACCACCAGGTATGCTGACACAAACTATCGGCATTTCACCCCCAGTGCACAAATGCCACAGCATTGTCATGGGGCTGTCCCCCAGGAAAAACACGCGTGTTCCCTGCTGTTTACCAGCGACTAGGAAACACTCTGAATAGAGCATACCTCACTCTGGAACACATACACACAGACAGGGATCCCCCAGACAAGTAGGAATCAGAAAGACAAAGGACACCTTCATATTCCCACTTTCCCCCCGCTTGCCTCCCAGCCCCCACCCCAATCATTGAGCCCCCCGCTCAACCATCTCCTGTGGGGAAACAGTTGTTTCTGAAATCAGTTCACAGAGCTACAGATCCCCCAAGGCACAGTCCCAAACACCCCAGCTGGAAACGCAAATCTATGTCATTTCTTCCCCCAGACGTTGGAACACCCAAAACAACGACGCACCTGCAGAATTTCAAGGACAGGAATCCCAGGGAAACCTTCACTGCCGGTCCAGCTGCCCACCCTGAGTGTCCCTGGGCAGACCCTGCACAGGAGGCACAAACACTACCCGGGTGGCTGTCCCGATGAAGGTGCGACGCAGGGAAAGGGGGAGAGGGGGCGTCAGGCTCACAACTTCCTTCGTGCCCAAATGCCTCTCCTCTTCCTCCTCAGCCCTCCGAGAGCCCGGCATCTCAACCATGGGAGATGTCGTCCACCCTTTCTCGGCCCTCACCGCACACCACACCCGTCCCCCAAAGCCGGGCCCTCCAGGGAATCCCGGCGCCCCACGCCCCCCACTCCTGCACACGCTCCGGACCCCGCGGCCACCTCACGCCTCCCTCCCCGCCCATCCACACACGAAGCTCCTCGCGGCTCTCCGCCGAGCTGCTGCTCCTCTGGACCCCTCACAGCACAGCACGCCACACCACACGCCCCCTCCTCGGACTCGCCGAGACCATGCCCGCACTGGACACCGCCGCCGTCCGCCACCCCTCGGAAACGCCCTTTCCCCGCGGCTCTCCTGCCTTCCCAGGCCCGCCCTTTACCACTGGACAGGGCGGATGCAAGCAGGAGCACCAGGACCAGCGGCTGCATTAGCCTCGCGCGGGCCTGCAAGCTGAGTCCGGTCAGCAGTCTCGTCCGCACGAAGCCCCTCATCCTCCCAGAGGCGGCAGCGACCATAACGGACTCGGCCCGGAGCCTGCGCTGTTGCTAGGCGCTACGTCATGACGTCAGACACGCGCCAGGCGCTGAGACTTTAGGGATTTACGTCCCGGCGCGATTACGTAGGCAGCCCGGGGTGGGGCTCTGGGAAAGAGAAGGAGAAGTGGGCTCTTTATGGTGGAGGAGCCAAGGAGTGAGGGAAGGGAGGTTGTGAGGTAGGGCCTGGAGTTGACTTCCACGTTTCCGCAAACGAGCCTTTCTGACAGTTCTACATTGCGCGAGGTGAGACCCTTACCGTGTCCACGCCTTGGCCCCTGGGGGGCTCTTCCCCAATCACAGCCGAGCTGCCTCCCTCTACACAGAAGGGTCTGTGTTCCCTACCTGAATCTGGTTTCCCCAAAGCATTTATCTGGCCCTTACAACAGCCCAGAGACACGTAAACTCTGCCAAAGAAAAAAAAAAAAAAAACACGAAGCCTTTCTTCACTCATTTCTCCCATCCACAAGCCAGTGGAATGAATGGAGCCCTTCTTGCGAACCTTCCAGATGAGCCAAGGTACAAAGTACACCCAAGTCCCTCCAGGGGTTTTCACTTGTGTGGGCACAGACACCGTCAGCGGGGTCCATGAATGAGCCCTCAGTCCTAGCTTCTGCTTGATTGGAGTTTGGTTCAGAGTACAATGGGGCTTTTCTGCAATAAACACACTCAGACCTCCTCCCGTGTCCACTGGAACTCCCACCGGAGCGTCCCAATTCTCTCGAACTAGTTATGAACCCAAGACATTTAGCATGAGATTGTCTGTGCTCAGAGATGCCTTTATATAAGATGCCCCTGCCAAAACCACTAGACAAATCCTTACACTCACTTAGAATAGCTGCAAGTCCCCTAAAAAATAATTAGAACAGTATGACGGAGTCTCAGGTTCAGAGTTTGGGGTGATCCATCACACAAAATGCTACAAAGGAATCTATTTTGAATCATTTCAAGCATCAAATATATTATGAATAAAAAGAAAACTTTAAGATTTATTTTTATTGGAAAGGCCAATATTCAGAGAGGAGAAACAAAAACGTTCCTTTTGTCCACTGATTCACTCCCCAAGTGGCCACACGGACAGTTAAGCTTATCCGAAGCCAGGAGTCAGGGCCTTCCTCCAGGTCTACAATGCAGGTGCAGGGTCCCAAGGATTTGAGCCATCCTCTACTGCTTTCCCAGGCCACAAGCAGGGAGCTGGATGGGAAGTGGAGCAGCCAGGACACAAACCAATGCCCACATGGGATCCAGGCACAAGGCATAGCCACTAGGCTATCATGCCAGGCCCAGAAAAAAACTTGCTGGCCCAGTGCAGTAGCCTTGTAGCTAAAGTTGTCGCCTTGCATGAACCGGGATCCTATAAGGGCGCCCATTCTTTTTTTTTTTTTTTTTTTTTTTTTTTTTTTAAGATTTATTTTTTTTTATTATTTTTTATTGGAAAGGCGGATATACAGAGAGGAGAGACAGAGAGGAAGATCTTCCATCCGATGATTCACTCCCCAAGTGAGCGCAACGGGTCGATACTATGCCGATCCGAAGCCAGGAGCCTCTTCCGGGTCTCCCACGCGGGTGCAGGGTCCCAAAGCTTTGGGCTGTCCTCGACTGCTTTCCCAGGCCACAGGCAGGGAGCTGGAAGGGAAGCGGGACTGCCGGGATTAGAACCGGCGCCCATATGGGATCCCGGGCGTGCAAGGCGAGGACTTAACCACTTGCGCCACCGCGCCGGGCCCGTGGGGCGCCCATTCTTAAAAAAAAAAATTATCTGCTGAAGCTAAGCAACATAAAACTCGTTAATATTTTTTTAAGATTTATTTATTTTTATTGATAATTCAGATTTACAGAAAGATTTTCCATCCACTGATTCAATCCCCAAGTGGCCACAATTGCCGGAGCTGAGCCAATCTGAAGCCAGAAGTCCCAGGGTCTCCCACGCAGGTACAGGGTCCCAAGACTTTGGGCCATCCTCAATTGCTTTCCCAGGCTACAAGCAGGAAACCGGAAGGGAAGTGGAGTAGCCAGGATGTAAATAGGCACCCTTATGGGATCTTGATGCATGCGAGGCGAGGACTTTAGCCACTAGGCTACCATGCTGGGTCCTCATTACGATTCTTTGTATTTATCCATGTATCATCGATCATTGATGGATAAATGGCAGGATTTCAACTGACCCCCACCACGAGGAACCTGTGAATCCAATGGGATCATATGCCTGAGACTAATCGTTTTTCCCATCATTAACTTTGAGGAAGGGAGCTCATCTTCTGAAAAGGGAAAGGGCTCCCTCTCGAGGGGATTCCAATGGTAAGAGGGACTCCACACCTGCACACTTTTCTGTTGCTGGCTTTGGACTAAGTGGCATGGAACACTGGTGGCCCCAAGGTGCTGGAAACACCTCCTAGCTGACAACCAGCAGGCACACAGGGACCTCTGTCCTACCGCGGAACAATCATGTGAACCTGGAAGAGCACCCAGCGCCTCTTGACGAGACCCAGATGAGCCTGCAGCAGCGATGTGAGCATTGTGAGACCCTGAGTGAGCAGTGCACACACACTCGCTGTGCTGTTTGAAGCATTTTTGATAACTTTTTATGCAGCAAGAGAAAGTGAATAATACATAACTCACACAAACACACACACAGTGAGAACAAATAGCCAGTCCAAAAAATGCCTTGTTACTTAATAAGGACAATAGAAGGAAGCTGAGGTTCCAATATTTCATTCAAGTTTTATTTTAAGTGATGTTAATTACAGCATTTGAAGGGGAGGATCTAATTCCACACAAAATGGAAGACTCTAAAATGTACCCATTGAAACTGCTAAAAAATAGAGCGGTGAGAATACAACAGAAATCCAACTGAGATTCTGGGTGTAGTCACCGAAGGATTACAATCATGCCGACTCTGTCCCGTGTGCAGCCAGAGGTACCGAAAGGTGATTTCATACTCAGAGCAACACGGAGAGGAACTAAGTCGTGAACTATTGGCTTCATCACATCCACCTACTCCACCCCAAAATGGCACGAAAGACAGAGCTACTACACCCAGCAAACTACTTTTGGTGTGAAAGAGGTGATGATGGACCAGGGTGGGAAACGGTCATGAAGATCTGTCTCGAAAAGTCCTTTTCAGAGGAGTTTGTACACACACCATCCAACAAGTCTCTCGCTAATAAGGTTAGGAAACCAAGGTTTGATTCTCAGGTAGTCACAATTTCATTCATTTATTCAGTATGGATTTACAAAGTGCCTACACATGATCAGCTCCCACTTGCATCCACTTCTAGATTTAAAAGGAGAGAGAGAGAGAGAGAGAAGAAACCTGACATCTCTAGGGGACTCACTGGGTCCACCCCTCAAGTCTGCAGCTGCGTGGACTTTTCCTTGGACTCAAGTTTCTCTGGCACCTCTGCAGGGTTAACACCTGGAAGCTGAGTCATCCTTCACCTGGAGGTCTAACGTGATACTGAGCGATACTTGCATCCCAGACAGACAACATCAAAAGGTACACTAGATTTCGAAGGTAGCTATGCTGCAAAATAGTTTAAAATTAAACGCTTATACAGTATTCATTTATGCTTGAAACTCCAGTCCTAGACCAAGTTTGTGGCCACCAGCGTTGACATTCTTGCCGTCCAGCAGAGCCGAGAGGGTCAGCTTGATACCTGCAGCAGGAACAGCAGGGGAAGGGAGAGGGCAAAATGGGAGAAAAGAGAAGGTGATGAGACCCAAATGCAGATGTCACCAACAGGGACCCAACCACACGCGTGCCTTGGAACCTTCTGACGTAATGCCATCTTACCAACAGGCATCACCGAGCTCATGAAACGACTATAAATCATTCTACAGAAAGCAGGCCCAGATCCACTTCTGCACTCACACTTTCCTTTGCAGTCCCCCTGCTGCAGTTTATCCTTCCACTGTTGGCACCACATCATCAACTCCCAGCCCCTACTCTGAGCATTCATATTCACAGCACACACGCAAGCAGCTGCCTTCCCCTGGAGTAGCTTGATGCCAGGGAATACCTTGTAATCTTACGCTTAAACAAACTGCTTTTTCCTGCAACAGCTTGATTTTGGAGTTCAAATATCAGGGTTCAAAGGTTGTATCACCTCCCAAAGTTTCAACGTAACATGAGCTGCTGTTACCAGCTGTGCAGAGGAGTCCTGCCAATGCCTTCCCCTGGTGCCTTGTCTTAAATTGGGATCCCTTAGAGGCCAGTCCCTGAGAGCCTGCTACACGTAGGTAATCAAACACTGGACACACACTGAAAAAGGATGGAAGAGGGGCTGGTGCAGCAGGTGACGGCATTGTATGTAGCACCTGCATCCCACAGGCACCAGTTCCAGTCCCAACTGCTCCATTCTCATATAGCATCCTACTAATGTGCCTGGGAAAGCAGCAGAAAATGGCCCAACTGCTTGGGCCTCTGCACCCATGTGGGAGACCAGCGGGCACCTGCTGGCTCCTGAGACCAGCCCTGTTCTGGTCACTGCATCAAGAAGGCATGAACCTTATCAAATGGATAAAAAAAATTTTGTTTCCATTCTCTCTCTCTCTGCATAACTCTACATTTCAAATAAATAAATGAAATAAATCCTTTTTTAAAAAGAGGGGGTACGATGGCTCAACAGGCTAATTAATCTTCCACCCACCATCATCCCATGTGGGCACTAGTTCATGTCCCTGCTGCTCCACTTCCCATCCAGCTCCCAGCTCACAGCCTGGCAAAGCAGCAAAGGATGGCTCAAATCCTTGAGATCCGGCACCACACGGGGGACCCAAAAGAAGCTAAAGGCTCCCAGTGTCAGATGAGATCAGCTCTGGCCGAGGTAGCCATTTAGGGAGTGACCCAGCAGATGGAAGATCTTTGTCTCTCTTTCTCTTTGAAAATCTGCCTTTCCAGTAAGAATTTAAAAAGTTGCAGAATGTCTGGGTCTTATAGGAGACATACATTAAAAAAAAAAAAAAAAGGATGAGAGAAAACATCCAAAAATGCAAAAATGTAACAGATGGTTGCTAGG